CTGTTCAATCTGACACAATTTCTCCTGGGGAAACACACACACACACACACACACACGCACACACACACACACACACACACACACACACACACTGCAGTCTGTCATTAATCCTGCCTAATCAAGCGGGGACCCCCCGATGTTTCCATGGAGCTGGAAGGAGGAGGAGTGATGAGGAGGAGGAGGAGGACAAAAAAAAGTGAGGAGGAGGAGAAGGGAGAGTTTAGACGAAGAGAAGCGGAGGATGGGAAGGAGGAGAGTGGGGGGAGGGGGTGGGGGGGTACCAGCTGGTCTGGATGCTCCGCGCCCCAACAGTGACACAGTAACTGGCATGGCCATCTGTCCAGCCACACACACACACACACACACACACACACACACACACACACAGATTGGTGAAGGTGTACAGTAGGTACCACATGGTGAGCGAAGGGTTGAGGGGAATCACTGGAGCACAGACGACAGAGATGAGAGCAAAGGTCAACTGTACGCTCGCATCATGTCCACAATAACGCTTTGAAACACGTCAAAGGGGGTTCTGTCCACACTGAGTTTTCAACTTATTTCCAAAAAAGTGGAACACCAAAACTGATTTTTTTTTGTCGTTTCTCCGTTTCAAATGCCCTTGTTTTAACACCCATCACTTTTTGATATATACTTATTCTGTTGTAAGGGGTTGCAGAGTGAAATCCTTTATGCATTATTGCACAACTTTAAAAATGAGGCAGCACTTCAGTAATAATAGCAGGTTATTTATTTCCACCTGCAACTTGGATTAGTCTACTAGGGTAGTGTTTCCCAACTGGTCCAGCCACGGGTTCCAGATTTCTCCTAAGTCATTAGTTTAAGGTCCACACAGTTTAATATATTCAATGTCAAACTTGGATTTGGCCATGTTGTTGAGGTAGTTTGCTGTCTCTGTCAAGTAGCTGTCTGTCACTCACTCTACAGCAGGAAATGGCATTTTAAATTAAAAGCTCTGTGCCACAAATTCACTGTGCTTCAATATAAAAGTCTGTTTGCCAGTTTGTCAGTTGACACCTGCCCTGTTTGGTTCGGTTCAATCAAACTCAGGTTCGTTTGCCCCCTAAGTGCTGCTCGTTTGAGCAGGTGTGAACACAGCAATCACACTCAGGTGCACACCAAAACGAGGCTAAAATCAACCTGAGTAGTTGTCCCTCCATTGTGACATTAGAAAGTGTCACATTTATCTTGCAAGTGTACTCTTCTTCAACGTTTACTTCCTGGATTTTTCCCACATGGAAATTCTGACCAATCAAGAGCAGCTTTCTCACACAAGGCATTTGATCTGGTCCGCTTGTAAATGCTGCCGTGAGAACACGAATCAACTCTAGGCAATTATACAACTTTGGAACAAAATTAGTCCCTGATTCAGACCAAAGCAAGACAACTCTAGGTCTGAAAGCAGCCTGATGGAAAATGCAGGTGTTTGGGAAGTACTAAGCATACGACTGGATAGGTAAGACTTGAAATATACTGTACAAGTTGTGTGAAAGATTGTAAACAGATCTTTTGACATAATGCTGTAGTTTCTTGTTCAACATGGACCCCAAAGATTTCAATTCATCAAACATGTTTGCTTTTTTGGATTAAATAGTAAAAATAGTCACAACATACAATTTTACCCTCTTCTTAGGTGTCAGGAATGAAAATAAGTCATCCTTAATGTTCGCTTTGTTTTGGTTTCAGACTGATGAAGACAGTCTGAGAATAATTAGATACAAAGTTGAATGTAAGTTTTACTGGGTGACTGATTTCCTTGGCAACTACCATGTTTTTCCTTTGTGATGTCTCAGATTTTTAGGCATTCTGATATCTCAAATGGCTTAAAAAAATATTGCAAATATCTGCCATAAATGGTAAAGAATTCTCCTTAGAGTAGCGTTCACTTGGCCCCCTCTAGGTTTGGGCTGAGCCCTGAATATTTACAATGTCTGGCTCCGTCCCTGTTCTTTAGTCCAGCTGTTAGATTAATGTTAGTACATTTTGTTGGCATCTTTTTGGATCAGAAAGAACTACATTTTTGTGCTGCACAGCCAGTGAGCAACGTATTATTAAGTACACTTCCAACAATTGCAGAGGCATATTCAACTGTTTAAAGCTTTCGGTTTTATTTTAAATGTCAAAGGAGGTTGGATGAGTAGGTGGGGTGTTAAAAGAAAGCCATTATACTACAGATGTGTCAGATGATTGCGCAGTAGCATCAGTTAAGCTGATGTCACAGGGCCAAACAGCTGAGACTTGTACAACTGATCATCCATATATACAGAATATGTCAGGACACAGCGCTCAGCTTCATGCAAAAGACTTACGTTTTATATTCCTGCGGCTCATCTGAGCTCTGCTTTAAGCTGATTTATGAGGACAATTTCTTGCTTAAATTGAACCTTTTTAACCAGTTGCTTAATGTGAAGTTGCACCCTAATCACTGAACTCTGACTGAGGTTTCCTGGTGGATCTGAAGACTGACATTAAGAGAATGAATCACAGTGGAAGCATCTGAGATTCAGCAGAAAACCTTTGCATTGTACTTCTGTGTGTTTAGCTCTGTCTGCGTGCATCTGGCTGGAACAACAGCCTGCCTAAACACACACACACAGACACACACACACACGTGCGCGCGCACATAGAGTAGCCTTGACTAATTAATAATGAATAAAGCCTCTGGCAAATTGAATTTTTAATTTATCATTTTATTCTCGTCTACATTTTGTTTTTCCTCTCCTTTAGTCACATCATTTGTGATTCATTTTATCGTGGATGTTCAGCATTAATATCCTCACTACGGCATAATAAAATTAAAATACTCGTGACACTGCCATCCTTATATCATACATCAGCGGCACCTGGTTTTATGTCTTTCTCACACCAGGTGCAGTCACTGCTGAGTTAAATGGCCCAGCATCACAGAGTACTGCCAGCCTGTCTGCATTAGTGTCCATGTTCACGATGCATATCTAATTAGTTTCTACAATAGTATTCTACTCAGAGCTCGAGGACTGACTGCAGAGCTGTGGAGGTCTGGCTGTGATTTATGGTCGTGTTTGAGTCGTATTTAGAGAATCAGTGAGTCTGAATTGGCCCGTGTTCGTCTCTACATCTGGGTTTCACTGCTGTGACATAATGAAGTAAGACTATTGAAATTCACTGTACATTTATAATGAAGTGTTTGAAAATCTCTGCAGCTCTCTGCCTTAATAAATGTGTGTGTTAATCCGTGAACTCTGTCTTATTCTGCCAGCCTGTGTGTGTGGCTTTATGTTGAAATAATACTCTTACCTTTAAATTCTCTGGTCGGTAATACTCTATAGGAATATGTATGGCAGCCATAGAAACTGCTTAATAAGGAAGTATCTGACTCGTTAGGTAACTCAGGCGACCTCAGATTTCCTCTCCCCCTGCACAAGTTGATCCAGGTGAGGTGGAGTCACACCGGTTGAGTTAAGCAGGATTTATACTTCTAAGTAGAATCGATGCCGTACCCTACACAGTAGCCTGACATGCACCTCCCCAGAAATGTAACTACACATCGTGGCGACACAGACTCATTTCCCTCAGTGGAAACGAAGCTTTTCTTTACTTTAATTTCACAGAAAAGAAACAACAAATTGTGAAGACAATAAAGCCTCCATAAAATAGCATTTTAAGTCTTGTGTGTGATTTATCCTGGCTTCATATGAGCAGAGGAAATCTCTGCCTTGTGAGTTGTAATGGAGCCGAATTTTGTAACGTTACCTTCGTTAAATGTTGAGGTTATCCCCTGGCTTCATATTCAGGAAATATCTGCTAGCTGCTAGGCTAATTTATACAATGTAAAATAATAGGCTTGTGCTAATAATGTTAGCATGTTGTATTTGTGGAGAAAATGTGTCCAGATAAAGACAAGTGTTTGTCTGTGAATCCTGCGAGTTGTAGTCAAGCCGATTGGTGTGCTTGTAATTGAAATTGTCTCTATTAAGCCATGTTTAATGTGTGTTTAATGTGTGTTTTAAATCAACTAAACTTTACAGCACTTCACAGAAACCCTTCTGCCAACTAGTATTTTGGAGGTGTAACTGCAGAGCGACTTCTGTTCATTACATGCATCGTGTCTTTTCAACATTAACTTCCATGTTCACAGGAAATGTAGGTTTCGTCACCAAAACTACTCTAGGTTTAGGCAACAAGACTACTTGGTTAGGTTTAGAATGAAAAAAAGATTATGGTTTGGGTTAAAATAAGTTTGTTAAGTAACTTAAGTAAGTTAATAAATGTGTTATGTAATGTTTGTCACATAATGTCAGCTACGTAACATTAAATAAACTTCACCTTTTCAAATGGGGCACGAACAGCAGTCTCCTGGGTGAAAGTCCTATCCACACCATCCACACCTCCTCTCGCTCTCCAAAGAACTTCTCTTTATACTATGTCTACATTTACAATGGAGTTAGTCAAAAGCCCAGTACATCTCACGGAGATGCTAACAGGTGCCTTGTGTGCCAGAATTAGACGGCAGCTAACCAAGCTGCCATATTTGACATCAAGGGAATGAGAATGGGCACAATATACAGAACCAGCAGCATCGAATAGCAAAACTTTCCTAATATATTATGGATATGGTTATTAGGTAAGGATCCACAAGGATTCTAAATGAAATCCCTGCCTGTTTATTATTATTACACTGTTTAAATGCCCAAATAGATGGAATTATGTTTCACTGAAATTGTATTTAAATGATTTCATGTGACCAATAAATTGAGTGAATTGAATTTTGTTCAAATATCCAATAAAATAAGAGTAACTGCACCTGTGCATGTGTCTTTACATTGTAAATTATATACATTTATGTAAGCTGTTTTCTACTGTCACTTGTTGTTTTTGTCCTGCTCTAAGCATTTATAAAGTTTAATTTTAACATCTCCTGTGTCTCACGTACATATTCGACACACATTTGACGTGTTATTTTATTATTTCTGACATGTTTTCTCTGTTTCTCTCTGCAGGTGTTTCTCCCGGTCGGACCACCTGGCCCTTCACATGAAGAGGCACATCTGAGGGCAGAGAGAAAAGGAGTGGGAGAGGGGAAGAAGCAAGAGGAGAAAAAGGAGGAGGAGGAGGAGAAGGAAAGATAGGAGGAGGAGAGAGGAACGGGCAGTCGAGCTACCAACCGCCCGCCTCGTTCACCCCGTCCATGAACCAGTCTGCGGCCCCGGCGCCTGCAGGGCAGCGCATCCATCTGAGAGGGCCGTGAAGATCAGTCAGACTGACGGCGCTCTCATTGGAGACTGGGATCGGAGGAAAACGAGGAGTAGCTAGATTGTTGTTTTTCTTTACAATTACACACTCACACACTTGCAACGTAAACACTCAACACACCCGTCTTTGAATGCATCATCCCGGTGAACCCCGGCTGCTCTCACGCAGCTCTGGGGACTTGGACACTGCCAAACCAACATATACTTAACTTGCTTGATGAAACATTAACGCCGCCTTTTTTTCTTTCTCTGTAGTCAGTGTGTTTAAACCATAACGTCACTTTAGGTGAGGAGATAGTCCAGTGGGGAAACTTTAAATATCCATATAGTCAGTTGTTAGTGCTTTACCGGCTTCTTGAATTCCAATACTCAACTCTTTTCTTTGTGTTTTAATGTTTCTCATACACGGAACGTAAGAACTCATCATCTGCCGCAGTCAGCTTCAGTAATCTACCAGAAGAAAACAACAACAAATCTGCAGGAGAGAGACTGTGCGGATCGACTTCTCGCATAGCTGACAATCGAACCCAGGGCTCGGACGCTGGGTGTCTTGGTGCACCCATGGGACCTCGGTCAGCGGGTGCCGCTGCAGCTCTCAGGCTCTCCTCCAGTGGGTGCTTGCATCTCCCACCTTCACTGAGACGCCTGCCGCCTCCGCAGGCCATCTGACAGAAATGCGCAGCGACACTTTCTTCCCTTTTTTTCTACTTAGAGGATGATAATTCTTCTTGTTGTTATTACAAAGAATGACACTTTGTTCTTTTCTCTCTTTGAGAAAATGTCTTAAAACTCACTGAATTGTGTTTGAGGAAAAAAAAAACTGAAAAATCTAAGATGACTTCAACAGAATGTGTGGGATGAGAAGGAGAGCGTTGTTGGTCTTTTTAATCCCCATGTGCACCGGCTCTGCTTCTGCAGTCTGTACGCAACCAGTGGATGAACAGAAAAAAACAGAATCATACAAATTCTCAGAAATGGGATTTGTATTCTTTTTTTTTGTTGGACTAAAATAAAAGCAGAGAGCGGAGAGGTCTTCAGTTTTTTGTGCTGCTCTTTCTGCCCCGCGATTCACTCCAGCTAGAAAACAAAAACCCTCGCATGACCCTCTGTGGTCTCGCGCTCTACTGGAGTCGGGCGGAGGACTCGCTGAAAACTGGAAACCTGTTTTTTTCTTCTGTCTTTGCTTTTTTTGTTGATTCTGAGAGTCATCCTGGAGCGCTTTCACAGGCTCTCATCTCCCTGGCAGCACTGCGGGGCACGAACGGAGGCTGAGGAGCCGCTTTTTGGTTACTCACGTGGGACTTAAGACGCCAAACGACCTTTGCGCGGTGGTGCCGAACAGACACGGTCGCACCAGCCCGGTCAAATTTGCCTGTTTCGTATCCATTGACTGCACTGACTTTTTTTTTTTCAATGTTATCTGTGCTTTTTTTTCTACAGCGAAAAAAGGAACACAAAGAAAAAAAATCATAAAAAGACTTGAAAAAAATTCAACACAAAAAACAATTCTGTCTCGCTCTACACATTGTATACAGAACAAGCACACATACTGCGCCAACACACACACACACACACACACACAGACTTACACAGTTTCTTTGCTCACGGCTCCTCTTGAGATAAGACTAATAAGATTTAGGAAAATAATTATTAAACTAATGAACAGAGTTGGAAAACAAAACACTGCATGGCAGGCTTTATTGCAAACACACACACACACACACACACACACACACACACACACTCTTCCTGGAATTATATGTTCTGCTCCCAGATCTTTTTTCACAGTAGGAATTTAGCAACTGTTGTTTAGTAGAAGAGTATCTTAGCTCTCGGCTGGAGGTAACAAACGATTCCAAATCCTTTGAAGTGAGAAATCAGCTTGTTCTCAGTTCCAACAATCACCCACATATCCCTTGCTACAGTTTGTGCCTCTCATTTAATCAGCGGTTTTCACTTCAGAGACTCCGGTTACATTGTTGGTTACAATAGAGCGTACAAACCCCTGTTTCCTTTAAAAATAATAAGTGGTGAAATGACTGCAGCAGGTCTCTTAACAAAAATGTGTCGAAAACGTGTTTATAATCCCCAGAGGTGTCTCTGCTCTGACACTCACGCACAGTGGATTTGAATGTCGTCAAGATGAATCCTAACGTCTTGACCCAAACAACGCATTGTCACATCTCGTTCTTTAAAAACCTGTTAAATTAGCTTTCTAATCATGGAAAGACCTGAAAAAAAAATTAATTAACTGAAACATTGGGGTCTTATGGTTACACCGGCATTTATGTAGCTAATATTTTGCACAGAATTCAATTAATTTGAACAGTGTAAGAATTAACTCACAGCAGCAGAGTAAATCTATGCTGAATTTAACTTAGGCACTAATGAGCAAAATAAATAAGTAAATAAACACATTTTATTGCCAAAGGCCTGTAGGATGGTTCGCTTACAGCTGTCATGCTCACAACTGCAACAGTGTTTTGCCATTTCTTGTTGTGACTGAGTGCTTATATGTGCTTTTATGGGCATGATTAAAGTGGCCAACAAGGGCAATGCACTACAATGACCCCAAAAAATTTCCATCAGGAGAAACGATGCCAATTCAAAGACAAATTCGAAAATCACAACAATACATAAAACAACAAAATCGTGCTGCAAGTGAAAAAATTAGTTGCAAAAATTTACTGGAAACATGACAAAGTCAAAAACGCACAAACCCCAAAAACAAATGCAACCGAAAACGCTGCATATCCAGTCAACTCAACAGAAGATCTACAGGCCTCAAGGAGGAGTGTGGTGTTAGCTAGCTAGAGTTAGCTGTCACTTTTTTATATTGTAATATTCTAAAAGGCTTACTCTAAATATAAAAAAGAATATGTACCTTTTTATGTTGCCTCTTTAAAGTGGATTTATACTTTGTACACTAGTGTGGTGGTGTCTGTGTCACTCTGCAGGTACACCTCCAAAATGCTAGTCGCCGGCAGGGTTTCTGTGAAGTGCTGTAAAGTTTAGCTGATTCAAAACACACATTAAACACACAGTACACAAATCAGCTTCACTATAACTCGCAGCATTCACAGACAAAGCAATTGTCTTTATCTGGACACATTTTCCCCACAAATACAACATGCTAATGTTTTTAGCACAAGCCTATGGCATTTTACATTGTATAAATTAGCCTAGCGGCTAGTGCACTTTTCCTCTACTCATATGAAGCCAGGATAAATCACACAAGACTTAAAATGCTTTTTTATGGAGGTTTTATTGTCTTCATAATGTTTCTTATCTGTGAAATAAAAGTAAATAGAAGTTTTATTAAAGCTCTTACCACTGAGGAAACGCGATATGTAGTTACATTTCTGGGAAGGTGCATGTTAGGCTAAGGCGTAGGTTACAGCAATAGGTACCGCAATGATTCGGCGTAGAAGTATAAATCCCGCTTTACTCCACTTTTCTTACCGCTTCAAAAACAAACCCACTCTCCTGTCAGGTCTTTCTCTCTCTCGGGTCAAAAAAATTGTTGCACTTAGAACTCCCCCTACAGGCCTGGGGAACTTTCATTGTGTTGACTGGACATGTAGGGTTTTCTGTTACATTTGTTTCCAGGGTTTGTGAGTTTATGCATTGTTTCTGTGTTTGCAGCATTTTTGATATTAACATATTCTTTTAGCTTTCTGCTGCACATTTTTTATTTGCAGCACATTTTCATTATTGTATTTGTTTAGGATTTTGTATGTGTTTCCAATCTGCATTTGCTCTGGAGCTGCAGCATGTTTCTCCTAATGGAAAAGTTGTAGCATGTTTGCCCTTATTGGCCACCATACATGTCTTTAAAAAACACACATCACCTGCTGGCTTTTCAGAGCTGTAATAACTGAGTTTAATCTGTCACCTGAGCATAATCACTGATGCTAAAATCACTGACGTAAGAAATGATACGAGAGGTAAAAACTGTGGCGAGCACATATCCACAGCACCTGCTTCCTTTGCTTAATGGTTGCAGATAAAAAAACAAACTCGCCTTGCAATCAGGGATTTACTGATATGGCAACATCAACACTGACACCGCTGCTCCATCCACCCACCACCACCACCTTTATATGCCCCGTAGCAAACAGTCTAATACTCACTGCTACTGTGACTAGTGCAGCTGGGTGAGGGTGCAGGGTTCCTGAAGCTGGCGGGGGGATTTCACATCCCAGCATGCCCAGTCATCGTGCCAGTTGGCCTTGCCAGCCTTCATTAAGTGAAACAGTGAAAACATTCCCCTTCGAGGGGGTTTTATGGTGCAGCTTCGAACAATCGATACCAAAAACCTCCAGCGTGGAACTGCCCTTTAGCCACGGGCAGAGTCTCCCCCGATCAGGAGAGAACAGCGGGAGTGCCGCCATATGAGGCCTCTTTATCCAGCGGCAGCTTTCTCTACTAACTCTCTGTTTCTGCTAAATATGACGTAAAGCAACCCATGTTTGAGATGAATCCAGAGTTTCACTTTTGATTTAATTTCAATGTTAGGTTTCCGTTACAAAAGCTATATCGATGGTTGTTTTCTTCAGCTTGGATGATGCAAAGTCACGCCAAAATGTTGAGACATGCAATGGGATGTGGAAGGAGCCCTCCTATACAGGAAATACAATCATAGAGGGATGGGGATCGTAGCACTTTTGTGAGGCTTTTGATGGCATGAATGTGTATATGTGTATGCGTGTGTCCCCATTAGACATACTGTGAGGGAAGCAGTGATTCAGCAAAGTGGTTGATAACAGATTTTTAACTGCTGAACATGTGTGGGAGAAACGTTGGTCGATACATTTGCTTGTTTGAAAATGGTTTTAATCGAAGCAAAGGCTGACAATGTGTTTATTGCGCTTTTTTTCCGGACCCTTCATTCGTTCATACATACATTCATTCATTCATACACATCATGGAGCTCAATGACTTCAGTCAGAGAGATGAAAACTTGCACTTCATATTACAACACAGTGAAATCAGACTCCTCTTTGCCACATACATTTAAATGACATATTTCTGACTCATTATTTTGTGTGTCTTTTCCACCTTCCCAAAAATCTCAGAATTTATTCTGATCATTAAAAACTAAAGGAAAAAAAAAACAATAATTTAAATATATGGACGTAAATCAGATCATTGTTGCACAAACACTGCATTTTATTTACTGCTAATATCACAAGAAGAACTAATTTACAGAAAACGGGATCGGTGTCTTTTTGCAGCAGCCAGCAAACTTTTGCATGCACGATGACTCAAAACTGAATCACCTCGTCACATTTCGACATTTGGTCATGGACTTTTCACGTCCAGATATGACATGAGTGAGACCGTGTTGGTATTTCATAATTGAAAATATATAAACTGGGAAAATGATGGGCCTTGAAGGGATAGTTCTGATTTTTTTAAGTGGGGTTGTATGAGGTGATTATCCATAGTCAGTGTATTCCTTACAGTAGTTTGGAGAATCAAACAGGGGTACTGACCCGCAAGCTCAGCAATGTACAGCTGTGGATAGGAGCAGCAGCAACTCGTATTTTAGCCACCTAAAATAATCCATACCAGTTTAAGTGTACACTATATTTACAATTTTTTCAACGTTTTTGTTGTTTTTTTTGACAGGGAACTGAGGCTTTCTTATTGTCCTTTTCAAAGCCACCAAACTCCATTGACAAAAACAGTCATTTTACCTCGCTGAACACAGGAGCTGCTGGTCAACCACTGCCTCAGTTTTTTAGTTTCTTCATGTTGTCTTTGGTGAATTTGAACTAACCCTTTAAAACACCAAAATCACACAACACCACAAAAAAAACTAACTGATTGAGGCAGCAGTAGACCAGCAGCTCCTGTGTTCAGTGAGGTAAAATTACTGTTTTTGTCGATGGAGTCTGGCTAAAGAGAGCATACATAAGTTTTACATTTAGTTCAGTTTCCCGTCAGACATCAGTGTCTAACAGCGAGGTAAAGCTGTGAAAATATTCTAAATATAGCGTACACGTAAACTGATATTGATTATTTAAAGGGGCTAAAATACGTTTTGTTGCTGCCCCCATCCACAGCAGTACATTGCTCAGCTTTCATGTCAGTACTCCAGCCTGCTTCTCCAAACTGGAGGCGTACCAACCGGCGTCTACTATTGGTCATTGATTATGGCTAAGTACCTCATATAAACCCACTTCCATCCTTTTCAGTACACTCTGAAAGAAGTGCATCACTTTCAGCTCATTTCTCTGTTTTATTTAGGGATAACACATTCAACAATTTTGGCCCAAACCACAGACAAACAAAGTTCAAGAAGATTTCATAGAAAAGAGTGTAAATTTTAAAAGTTAAAATTGTAGCTGGCCAGCGTGCAACAAATACAACTCATGGCTCCTGTTTAATTAAAATCTTTCTTGACATCCGACAGATCTCAAAGTCACTTCAGATACAATTTCCCATTTCATTTCCATCAAGTTGAAGCAGGTTTTCTGTCACAGTGTTGCTCCGGGTCTCCTGTCGTCTCTCAGGCTCCTCCAGGCCAGCTAGCAGCCGTCCCACAGCTCTGATTAGCATTAGCACTCCCGGGTCCTCTTCTCTAGTTGCAGTACAGCTAATGAGATAGCTCTGGGTCACAGGGAAACTGAGTGGTCTGGAGACAAAAAACAACAGGGACCTTGAGCCGGACCAATTCGGCGCCACGTACCCGGTGGACAGATCTGATGAGGAACAAACACAAGATCCCATTAGCGTCGAGAAATGCCAGGAGACAGTGAGATATATTTGTCAAAGAGACTAAACTGTGATGAAAAAAAGGATTTTAAAAAATCATTTACCCACATGAATATCCAAATCATTAAATCAGCCCTTTGCATTTTATCTCATGGATTACAGATAAAATAAATTACCATTTATCTGCAAAGTCCCAACAGATATTTAATCCACTCCGTGTCCCCCAGCCCTCCCTTTTCCTTCGCAGTTAAAGTGCCATTCTTGTTTCCCTCCATCCCTCCATCCTCACCCCATCTCTCCCTCTCTGTCCACAGCAGTTGTCCATGCACTATCAGCTGCAGGAATGCTGAATGCACACTTTACACATTTTTGCCCAAAGATTTGCATATTTGCAAGTTAACTGCTGTGAATGTAGTAGACGTAGAGGAAAAGAGCCGAGAGGCAGAGACGCAGAAAAAGGAGAGTCGGATGCAAGGTGGAAGGAGAGGGATCGTTTTTCTTACATGATCGTCCCATTAAATCTTAATTACCGGTATGCTCCCACTCTTCATGCTTCATAACATTCTCAGTCTCTTGTCTGCTGTCAGCTGGAGCCAAACTCATCCTTCACAAATGTAAAATAATGTTCTCATTGTCTTATAGGCAGGAGTGAAGAAGCTTTAGTCTCAGTTAGCTTCTTAGCACACTGCAAGTCGTAACGTCAAGTGTCATATTTCAAAGTCACAGGTGGGCCCAGACACACCAAACCAATGTCACAGAACCAGTTGCAGTGAAGGCCGACTGTTTCATCACCTGACGTCGCCTGTGTCTTAGCCAAAATGTTGCACCTGAACACACCGCTAAGACTACAGCCAACAGCCAACTAACATGCAAGAGGAAATAACTCTCCATACTAGCAGCCGGCGGTAGTCTGTATTCATCATTAAATGGTGAAACCGGAAGACCAACCGGACGGATTCAAGAACTTCAGACACACTGACTGCATTGAACGTCCAAGAACAACTATTCATAGTACAAATGAGGGTCCTCATCAGCACCCAGCAGTAAACGAAGGGCTGGGAGGTGAGCTAACCATTCTCTTACTGCCAGCGTTGGGTTTCACTAAACTAAAATGACTCCCTTGGGACCAAAGTGTAAAATATCTAACTTAAAACTAACTTCACTGTGGTGCGGTGGCTGTGGCTGGCTTGACTGCAGTGTTTTGGACTGGATTGGATTGCGGAAAGTAAGATTGGAGCATGGACAGTCGGTGCACTTCCTATGTCTACAGTCCGCTCAGTCACAAAAACATAGGCATGGCGGATGTTGTGGACATAAAAGGGCAGCATA